ATTGTGTTGTCATCTCCAAGCCGGGTGTGGCAAAGAGATTGTTGAGATGTGTCATAAGGTCTTTCATACTCTTGGCCCACTTGCTGCATTTGACATAGTCAAGCCAGTATCTTGCTCTTGCTGCAGAGTGCGGATCCTGATAGCGTTTGATGAAGAGTTCCTCGAGTGTAGTGATATCAGTGGCCTTTAGCCACTTGTTCATATCCAGTCTGGCGTATCCGGCCTTGATGGCTTGGAGCTATACCAAGATCCGTACTTCGGGCACGACATTCGTTCCCACGACAACTGATTGAGTAATCGGGGGAGTTCCAAAAAAGTCAAAGTATGCTCGCATCGCCTCGAACCAGGACATGACATCGTCCTGCCTGTCGTATCTAGGTGGTAACACGACCGCCTTTTTATCCACATAGGGAAAGCCATTACTAGGGCCATGATCTATAAGAACTGGAACTGGGACTGCACCAGTTGCAGAGCTCCCTGGGTCGCTAATTTGTGCAGCAGCAACGGAAGGTGCACCTGTTGTAGGTCCCATACTCATTAAGCTCAAGGATGAAGAAAAGAAGGGTGGTAGACAAGGCAGCGGAACTTGATGCATTTGGAAGAAGCGGGGGGTTAAGGTTGGTCTGTTGCAGATTTGCTATTCGCTGCAGCTGGTCACTATGCCTCTTCTCCATCTGGGCTATGGTATCCCGGAAGTCTTTCACCGGATCAAACAACTAGGACACAAAGCCAGGGAGAGTGCTCATCATATGGCAATCAATCAGTGCCCGAACATAAGTGACCAGATGAGACTTCACTTCCTCATCAAGCAGGGAGGGTACTCTCTTGAAGACTTCCTCATGGCCCTACATAGTGGCCTTTTCCTTCTCCTCCGCGGCATTTTCCTCTACCTTCGCTTCCTTCCTCAGTGCATTCTGGTAGAGGATAAAGAAACAAGGTTTATCCTCTTCGTCTGCGGCATCCATTTGTGCCTTCAGACCAATTGAAGCTTTTACGGTTCTTGTCCCCATGCCAGCCCTGTTAGGACTGCCAACACCCAATTCAAAAAAGATTTGGGAAAGCCTCTCACATTGAGGGCTCCTTGCTGTCTTCCTTGGACGGTGTCGGGCGGCTCCAGCCCTACGCCGCCCTTTACTTCCCTTACAAGGGTGCGCAACGAGGTTCCCATTTGTTAGTTTCTACCTGACAGGGGCTCACCGGCCATGGGAAAAATGCCGCAACAGGTTGACGGAACGAATGGCCGGACTA